CGTTGCCCAGGGTTCACCACGTGAAGGTAAGTCTATCGCAAACCCCACTCTTTAAACATAAAGGTATCATAGTTAAACCGTTAACTTTGTGAACTAGTATTGACTGGGATCCATTAAAAATAGGTATTAGTTTACAATTGCAAGATAATGGATTCAATAAATTCACTTTGTAATAAGTTTTGTTGTATTCAGTGCCGCCTGGTGCTCCAAGTGGTCTTGAGGTGAATGACGTTGACAGCAATGAGGTCACCCTCTCCTGGATGAAACCGCGAAAGGATGGGGGCTCGAAAGTCACTGGATACGTGGTGGAGTATATGCCTATCAATGGCGAAGAGTGGATAAAGGCTCCTAGCACAAAGGACACAACTGCGACTGTCGGTGGCCTGAAGAAAGGAGAGAAGTACCTGTTCCGTGTTAGTGCTAAAAATGCCGCAGGAACTGGTGAACCAAGTCAAGCCACTAGACCTGTACTCTGCAAGCCAAAATACGGTTGGCTTTCAAACTTTTTGTTTGTTGGGAATTTATGAACATACCAATGAATTGCGCTTTTATTTTTGACTGTTGTAGATGCACCTGACGCTCCAGGATCGCTGCATGTGGACGATGTAGACAAAGACCAAGTTACTCTCTCTTGGGCGCCACCCCTACGTGATGGTGGATCGAAAATCGTTGGATTCATTGTGGAGAAGAAAAAACTGGGAGATGGTGACTGGAGCAAAGCTGCCAGTCTGCCTGCCAACACAGCCTCAGCAACGATAGATAACCTTGAGCCGAATGGCAATTATGAGTTCCGTGTTCGAGCAGTAAATGCTGCTGGACCTAGTGACCCATCCACACCAACAAATCTTGTCCAGTTGCAGGCCAAGAAAAGTAAGTGATAATAATAATAATAATACTGATAATTATATGATTGTTCGGGGTATTTGGTAGATCCCAAATGATTTGCTGCTTCTGGCATTAAGACAAACGACTAATAGAGAGAGGTTGCATGAGTTGTTGCTTCGATATTAACTATTACTTTTATTTCCATTCAGCAAAGCCCAAGGGACCAGAAGAAGTTAACGTCAAGGATGTTCGAGCAAATTCATGTACAGTTGAATGGTCTCCGTCGAAGGATGATGGTGGTTCACCAGTAACTGGGTATGCAGTTGAAATGTGTGATGAATCTACGGGCATCTGGAGCCCAGTTATTGAAAAGATCAAGGACAATTCTGTGAAAGTTTCCAACCTTACAAGCGGCCACCGGTACAAGTTTCGCGTTGCAGCGATCAATGATTTAGGCCGCTCAGAACCAACTGAAACTCTTCTATCAACTGTTGCCAAGAATCCATTTGGTTTGTTTCTTTCCATTTATACTTTCCTTCAGCATATACTTATCTGTGTGTATAATAAATCTACATAAATTATAGATAGTCCTGATGCTCCTCGATCTGTGAAGATCGCTGATTACGACAAGAATTTTGTTGAATTGACATGGGAACCACCTGAAAGTGATGGAGGAAATCCAGTCCAGGGATATATCGTTGAGAAACGAAATCCTAAGGGCGAGTGGATCAAAGCACTTCCTGGAATTCTTCCAGGAACAAATGCTACCATAACTGGACTCGAACCAGGACGTGAATATGAGTTTCGTGTTGCCGCAGTCAACGAAGGTGGTCAAGGAGACTTTTCGAGATCAACAATGCCACATCTTATGAAAGATAAGATCTGTGAGTGCCTAATTCTTACCTATTAAGGTTGTTAAACAATTTGTAGTTTTATCATACTTGTCAATTGTTCAGTGCCTGCTGGAGCACCAGATGGCCTAAACGTTGATAAGGTGAACAAAAATGGTGTTAGACTATCCTGGAAAAAACCACGGCATGATGGTGGTACACCAATTACCGGTTACATCGTTGAAAAGTTGGATGAGAGTGGTGAGTGGATCCCCGTAAAGAGCACAACTGAACCTCAGGCCTTTATTCCCATGAAGGAGGGTGAGAAGGCTCAGTATCGCGTTCGAGCTGTGAATGAGGAGGGTGAGGGTGAACCCAGCCGTCCTACTCTTCCTGTCACTGCTGAAGATCAACCCATGGCACCGCGTATTGCTACTCCTGCTGATGGTCTTATCGATAGTCCTGGCTCTGGAATAGGTGGATTGAAAGATATCAAAGTTAGAGTGAGTATCCCCTTTCCTTCCTTTTCTATCATCACTTTGACTAAAATAAAATAGCGATGAATTGACAATCTACTTTAGGCTGGGCAAGAAATACGCTTGCCTGTTACATGGTTTGGAAGTCCTACTCCAGTTGCCCAATGGACCCATAATAACCAAACGATTTCACCTGACGGTTCCAGAACCAAAGCCATAACAGAGGAGGCTCCTCATTCTGCCAAACCACTTCTTGGCGGATACCTTGAAGAAGACCCAGCTGGCACCTCCATTCTTTTGATTCAAAAGGCAAAGCGTGAAGATTCAGGCTCCTATGGTGTTACATTGGAGAATCCATTGGGCCAAACACGCAGCTCCTGCAATGTTATTGTTCTTGGTAAATGCTTTGTATTTATGCTAATAAACCAAATGATTCTACTAAATGTTTATTCTCTATCCTACAATTAGATGCTCCTGCTTCACCAGGAGGTCCGTTAGAAGCTACTGCCATCAAGGCAGATGAGATTACCATCAAATGGAAACCCCCCGTTGATGACGGAGGTGAACCTGTGAAAAACTACATTCTTGAAAAAAGAATCGCCGGAACAGACAAGTATGCATCGTTTATCAGACCCATATTTTAATTTTAATAATTTTACGAAAAACCAAGCACCTTTTCTTTTAAGTTGGCAGAAGGTGAGCGCTTTCTTGACCTCGCCAGAAGCCACAGTGCGAAATCTGGATGAAGGAAAGCCTTATGAATTCCGGGTCATGGCTGAAAACGCCTTTGGTGTCAGTGAGCCGTTAATGACAACCGAAGCCATAAAACCGAAGCATCCCTTCGGTAAGTTAAAATTCAATTCTCCTCTTTTCGCTCATGTGTTTTGCATTGATAATAAGGAATGCTTAAGCGAACTTCTGAATACGCCTGGGATTTGACTCATTCTCTCTTTCATAAAAGGCAGTTAAGTTTCTGACCACCGAAACATTATTTTGAGTCGTCTTCTTGCCAAAGTATTCTAACTTTTCCCAGTATACTAATTTGCGATCAAGATTAATTTTGCATCTATACCTCTCAAATTGTGTGGTTTTATTAGATCCACCATCTGGAATGACAGAACCAATTGTGGAAGACACAACCGATGATAGTATCACTCTCTCATGGGAACCGCCAACTCGGGGTCCAGTATCTGGTTACATTGTTGAAAAGAAACCGAAAAATTCACGAGAGTGGACCAAGTAAGTTTACTTATTCTTAAATTTTCCTTCAATTTATATCGAACTTAATTGCCACTTGTACCAGGGCCAATATTGGCAACGTCACAGGTAATACTTACACCGTGAAGGGTCTTCCCACGGGAAAGGAGTTTGAGTTCCGCGTTGTGCCTTTTAATGCCGCTGGTAACGGAGAACCAAGTGATTCAACAGGTCTAATCAAGGTGCAGAAACCCATTGAAGCACCTAAAATCTCATATGAAATGCCTACAGAGGTTAATGCCGTTATGGGTCAGCCTTTCAAAATTCGAGTACCATTCACTGGCTCGCCACCTACCAGTGTTGAGCTTATCAAGGTTCGTTTTAAATTGATATATTTGAAATGAACTTTTTGTGTGATTCTTATCAAAAGAGATGATATTTCCATTTAGGACGGTCGACCAACACCAATTCCGAATGACCACCTTAATGTAGAAATCACTCCAAATGAAGTTATTATTACCACTCCTGCTTCAGTGAAAGATGACAATGGCGTTTATGATATTAAATTGGCCAATGAAAAGGGTTCAGATCATAGACCAATCAAAATCAATATTCTTTGCCCACCAGATGCCCCCACTGGTCCTTTAAATGTCACCTCGGTCACTGCTAACTCATGCAAGCTCTCATGGAATCCACCGGCTGTAAGTGCTTCAATTTTTCATTTCGTAAATACAATAAAAATTTACCGCCCTTTCAGTACGATCATTCCAAATTTACTTATCTAACCCATTTATCTTTCAGAACTGGCATTTAGTGGTAAGCGTTTATTATCTAACTCTAGCCCCTAGTTCCATCGGAGTCGTAGGGAAAAATTTATAGGTTTGCATGCTATACACCGGATAACATTAAAAGTATGAAATTAATGCCTTATCGCTTCCTTTCAGGATACCCATGGGGGCCCACTTTCGAACTACATTGTCGAGAAGATGGATGTTGCTACAGGTGAATGGACCCCAGTGAGCAAATTCGTGCGTCAACCTGAGTACGAAGTGACTTCTTTGGTTGAAGGAAAGACGTATAAGTTCCGTGTTCTAGCAGTGAATGACTACGGTATTAGTGAACCTCTTGAGGGCGATCGAAAAATCACTGCTATCGATGAGGCTGGTAGGTGGTTTCTTTTTGAAATTATCACAGTAAATTAATTTGAAGGCGTTGTTAATAACAACCTGTATTAAATTTAGCTGTTCCCGATGCTCCACAGAATGTTGATGTCACGGATGCTACTGAAGATAGTGTATCTTTAGAATGGACGAAACCCCGTGGAAGTGGTAGCAAAAAGCCAACCGGTTACGTCATTGAATACAAAACACCCGACAGTGATTGGGTCAGAGCTCCTCTGGGACAGATTAAAGGCACTTCTGCTACCGGTAGGTCAATCCCAAAATTCACTTTTCTCAACTTGAAGTTGAATTCTTCAAATTGACATCTTAAATTTTAGTGGAGGGCCTTGAGACGGGCAAACGATACAGCTTCCGTGTTGCAGCTAAAAATAATGCTGGTGTTGGTGAACCCAGCAGACCAACTCAACCAGTTGAATGCAAGCCAAAGTATAGTAAGTAACTAACATTTTTTCTTCGCTAGGCTTTTCAATACTGTTTTCCTTTAACACAAGATTATAAATGTTTCAGCCACTCCTAGAAGCACAGGCATGCCAAATGTAGACAGTGTTGGACGCGATTTTGTGAACCTTTCCTGGATGCCGCCGAAAAATGACGGTGGGTCGCGAGTCAACGGTTACATAGTAGAAAAGCGTCCCCGTGGAGGTTATGATTGGGAGCCAGCGATAACTTCACCAGTTGTCGGAACTTCAGCAAATATCAGTGGACTGCCTACAGGAACGGAGTACGAATTCCGTGTGATTCCTATCAACGCTGCCGGCAAGGGGGAACCCAGTACGCCTACACCAATGGTCAAGATCGAAGATAAACGTTGTTAGTGCAAAAATGATTGCTATTATTAAATTACTCTTGCTGTTTACTAGGTATTTTCATATGAACTTCAGCCTATCTTTACTATGGAATTGCAGGATTGTATATAACACAAGATATCCCTTGCTTAAGCTCTTATTTTCCCTTTTGTTACCAGCTGGAGCGGCCGCCGACTTCATTACAAAGTTGACTCCAAAGTCCAGTGGGGTCGGTGGAGAGGCAGAATTCGTAGTACAAGTGGACGGTAATCCCACACCACGTGTGCGTTGGCTTCGAAATGGCATTGAACTCACCCCCTCCAGCAGGGTACGCATAACTGGACCTGACGATGATGGAATGGCCCGCCTTACACTTTCTGACTTGGGTGAATATGACGGAGGTGACATCACTTGCGAGCTAATTACACCTTCGAACCGCACCTCATGCTCCGCACCACTAGATGTGTTTGGTCCTCCCAAGATTCTTGGTGATGTTCCTGAGCGCACAGCTGCAGAGGAAGATTTTGTCAAGTTCAAGGTCCCCTATTCTGCTCGAGGCAATATTTCTCTTAAGTTAAGGAAAGATGGCCACGATGTGCCGGATTCTAATGAAATCAAGCTCATGGATCTTGATGGCATAGCCTCTGTTCAATTCAAAAGTTAGATCAGTAGAAATTTTGGGTTTTTTGTATGGATTTGTTGGATTGACCCTTTTTGTCGTTTCAGATGTCAAACAAGAAATGGCTGGTAAATACGTCCTGGAAATTGCAAATGAGAGCGGAACTGCCACATCGCCGATAGTCTTGAAAGTTATTGGTGTGTATATTATAAGCCATTTTAACTTTATTCTTAAAAAGGAAAATAAATTATTAAGAATTTTCGGAAAATAGGTGAGCCGGATGCCTGTCAGGGACCACTTCAAAACACTGATACGACTCCATTCAGCACTAGACTCTCATGGAAACCTCCGCGTCATGATGGTGGCTCAAAGGTAACGCACTATGTCGTGGAAAGACAGGAGGTGGGCAAGGATAATTGGACTACTGTCCAATCAGCGTGCACTACACTCTTATCTGAAATCCAGGGTCTCACAGATGGGGCCAGCTATAACTTCCGTGTTGCTCCAGTAAATGATGTAGGACAGGGACCCTGGCTCACCACCACAACTCCTATTGTCGCCAAGTATCCATTCGGTTAGTCTTCAGTTTTTTATTAACTTTATTGCCCTTCAAAATGCTCTATCGATTTAAAATTGCTCTCTTTTTCTATAGATAAACCGTCAGCCCCTGGTCCAATCTCAGTTTCTGATGTGGGTTCAAGTTTTGTTAATCTTACCTGGTCTCGACCGTCTAACGATGGAGGAGGTAGGCTTCTAGGCTACTTTATCGAGAAACGCGAAGCTGGTGCACCAAATTGGACACGTGTAAATGTGAATCCTGTTCAGACTCTTTCCTACAACCTTCCAAATCTCATCGAGGATAAGTCCTATGAGTTCCGTGTCTTTGCAACCAATGACGCCGGAGAAAGTCCACCTTCTACTATTGATGAACCCGTTCTCGTTAGGGATCCAATGAGTATGCTAATTAATCTGTTATATGCATTACAAATCGCATCGTCTGTTTACTTAATAACTATGGTTTCAATTAGGTTGTTCTGCTCCACAGCTGTTGCGTACTCTTAAACCAATTACAGTAAATGAGGGCCGAGATGCAGTATTCGAGATTGAAGTAGATTGCTCTTCTCCCTATGAGGTCACGTGGTACAAAGGTGATCGAGAGTTGGTTCCGTCATCTAGAATTGATATGGCAAAAGAAGGTCGCCTTTGTACCCTCACGGTAGCCGATGCCAATGGTGAGGATACTGACGATTACAGTGTCAGGGTGTCTAATCGCGGAGGAACCAAATATAGCCGTGCTCCTCTAGCAGTAAACAGTAAGCGAGTCAGCTTAACTTTTACTACCTTTTGTGGAAAATTAACGCATATTTACGAATGTTTTGTTTCAGTTAAACCGAGGATCAATCTCCCCACCCGTTGGCAAGAACCAACAGATTGGGAGAAGGGTGATACTATCCAGATTAAGGCACCATTCATTGGTTATCCTACACCGCATGCCACTTGGAAATTGAATGGAAAGGAACTGTTCAATAACAAAAACGTGCAGATTGAAATGAAGCGTCGTCATGCCATAATTACACTCTCTAATGTGGATGAAAACACTACTGGTCAACTGAAACTAACGCTAGAGAACAATATGGGCTCAGACACAGCAAATATCGATCTCCGTGTACATGATAGACCTTCTCCACCATACGACGTCGTAGTAGAAGGAACTTCAGACGGAAGGGCTCTTCTATCTTGGAAGATGCCTCCAGATTCCGGATACGTCTCCGAGTACATAATTGAAAGAGCTGAAATGCCCGGAGACAATTGGATTCGTGCAGGAATAAATCGGTGGGAGAGGTTTCACTGCATTTTAAACATGTCTCACCACATATAAGAATGCATACTCTTTTTTATCTTTCCAGATTCTCACCATATAATGTTGAAGGTCTAGAAAACGGGCACGAATACAGGTTCCGCGTCTTTGCTGACAATTTGCACGGGCGAAGTGATCCCAGCCAACCCTCAGAGCCTGTAAAGATCTGCCCCGAGGAGAAAAGACGCAAAAATCAGAGACGCTTTTTGGGTGATTGTTTGCCACGCGGAGAATACGATGGACCACCAAGCACTGACTACTCATATGGTATATTTTTTAAACTTTATCTCATTATATTGGGAAAATGATGACCCCCACTTTGAAAGTGGATTTGTTCCAGTATCTACCACCTTATTCCTATGACCTAAGGGAATATAACTGTGCAAGTATTACAAGCTGTCCTACTCTTGACACTTCAACTTATGGTGAAATAGTGGGAAATAAAGGGGCGGAATTAGCATACATTATATGGTGTATCAGCAAGTGTTCGTGGTTAGAGTTAAACGGTAGACGCCTGGTCTGATTTTAATTCGAATTCCGTTTCAGATGGTAATCTCTGGCGCAAGGGACCTCCACCACCAACTAACTTCAACTCTGGAAACTTATATGATTACTACGAAGTTTTGGAAGAGATCGGAAGGCAAGTAGACCATCAATAGTTCATATTTTGCAAACGACGGTTATGCAATTCATAGATTCTTTAATTTATCTTAAAGTGGAACATTTGGTTCCGTACATCGTGTGAAAGAAAAATCCACAGGAAGAATCTTCGTTGCCAAATTTGTCCCAACAAAGGATGAAGATGAAAGGAATGCTGTACTAAACGAAGCCAACATCATGAAACAACTAAATCATCCAAATCTTCTTCATCTTCATGAATTCTTCTCTGAGCCCAAGGAAAGCGCAATGATTCTCGAGTTGTATGTCAATATGGATTTACTTTAAGTTTATACTGTTCGCAATACATATAAATCTATACCTTTTTGTATAGTCTTTCAGGTGGCGAGCTTTTTGACAGAATAGGGGAAGATGGATACAATATGAATGAGGGTGAAGTCATCAAGTACATTCGTCAGCTACTGGAAGGTCTTCAACATATGCATGAGAACCACATTGTACATCTGGATATCAAGGTGAGTATCCTTCCTTTAAGCAATTGCTTATTTTGTTGATTGGGCCTTCATGTTGTTCACCAACTCTTTTTTTAGCCCGAAAATATAATGTGTGAAAATAATCGTTCTACGGAAATCAAATTAATAGACTTCGGTCTCTCTACAAAATTAAACCCTCAAGAGGAGGTCCGTGTCAGTACAGCAACTCCAGAGTTCGCAGCTCCAGAGATAATCGATCACAATCCTGTAGGGTTCTATACGGATATGTGGTCGGTAGGTGTTCTCGCCTACGTCCTCCTCTCGGGTATCTCACCTTTTGCCGGGAATGATAATAAGGAGACTCTTCAAAATGTTAGTAGGGCTTCCTATGACTTCAATGATGAGTCCTTCAGGGGTGTCTCTGACAACGCCAAAGACTTTATCTCCAAACTCCTCATCAAGGCTCCTGAGTACATTAAACTATAAATGACTTGCGAACCTAATGGTATCACTTTAATCAACTGCAACTCTCAATTTCAGGAAGCGAATAACCGTATTTGAGGCTTTGGATCACCCATGGTTGAGCACGCCAATTAATGATGATCAGCTTCGTCGTATTCCAGCCAAACGTTACGATAATGTTCGTCGTCAAATGCACGAGCGAATCGTAAGCATCTCCCTTCAATTGTCATTAAATATTTTCACCTCTTGATGATGAATTTGTGGTTACTTATCTTTTTAATCTTCTTCAGGGTGATATTTGGGCGCGTCGGCCTGCTATTGGTCATATATGCAACTACAGTAGTATTCGCAGACTCAGAAGAGTTGAATATATGATTTATTCCAGCCATTTTGGTAAATATTAGGGAAATCCTTTTTTTGACTGACCTAAGTCAGTTTAATCATTACTAACTCTCCGAGTTTGGTTATTAGATCATCGCGAAGCTGGTCCTAGGTTTATCCGCCATCCAAGAAGTCAAACGACCATTGAAGGCAATACTGCTCAATTCGATTGTCGTGTCATCGGCGTCTCGGAGCCTATAATCACATGGTAAATTTAATTACTCTCTACTGGAATTTTAATAGTAACATCAATATAACAAATCCTTTTGTTCCAATTATAGGGTGTACCGAGGCACGCCTCTGACACAAAGTCTCAAGTACATGCAACGGTACTCAGGACACGATTATTCCTTGAAGGTGAGCCGTGTCAAGCGATTTGAAGATGAGGGCGAGTACATTGTACGTGCGGAGAACAGTTTTGGAAAACGAGATAGTTCTGCTTACCTCACTGTTGAGCCTGTTCGTGAGACCACACGAGGTAAGCTTATTTTGATTTTTCTTTCTACTTCTTTCTTTTAAGCCATTTGCATATGTATTTAGAACACACACACAGAGAATGAAGGTGTGAGAATACAGGAGTATCTTATATTTCTTAGGAGAAAATTGTTCGAGACAATGTCACTCGATAATCCGAAGTCGTAAATGGACATGTCAAGTAAATAGAAACTCATTTGGAGTATTCTTTAACAAAAATTTGCATAAAAACTATAAATTTATTAATTTTAGACATTTTTAAGGAGAAAGTTATTTATAAATCTGACTGTTGAAAGCAAGCTCAACTCAAAGTCGACTACATATTTATCCCCACATTTAACATTTCTATATAAATAAGTGAACGAAAAACCTTAAAGAGGAAAAATTGTTAAACGTGGCTGTGATAGTGATTCCTTTTTACTTTTTCCAAAGCTTCCTTCTAATGATTTTTGGGTACTTTGCTAACAGTCCACGTCAGCAACTTTTAATGGAAGTGTTAATTAAGCGGTTAACTGTACCCCTGATTGCGAGGAGAGTGGTGGTATATAGTTGATAAATATAGCATGATAATGGGAAAAATAACCAATTAATTCGCTTTTGCAGAGCCATCCGTAATGCCGAAAAAGAAATTCGCTCTGAAGGAGTATGAAGTGATTCTACCAGAAGAGTTCGCTCCAAGATTCTCTCTTCCTCTTAGAAACCGTTATATTCAAGATGGTCACTCTGTAAAACTCACTTGCACAGCTGACGGAAACCCCATTCCAGTCCTGACCTGGTTCAAGGTAGGGACTCATGAATTTTTTAAATATGTCAGACCATATTATGTCTTCTTAAACCTCTCTGTTTGCCTCCTTCAGGATGGACACCAAATTGAGCGTGGAGGGGATTACGATATACAAACAACGTTAGGTATTTCCTCATTAGAAATCTTCAGCTGCAACGAAAAACACTCAGGCAAGTATACTTGTCAAGCAAGTAATAAACTCGGAGAAGACGAAACCATGTGTAAACTCATTGTTGAACGTAAGTAAAGAACCCACATAACAACTAACTACCTAGAGAGCGAGAAACTAATCGTGTTTGATTTAAATGTATCGTAGCGAATCGCCTGAAACGTTTGCTAGCGGCTTCTGCAGAAGGTCGTGGAATGCGGGCATCCAGTCAAATGCCCTATTCGTCTTCCAATGTCGATTCATTTAGATCAGTCTCTACTTGGCGGGAGTCGTCAATCAGTGCCAATGGAATGATGACCACATCTACCACAATAACCCGCACCAGCTTTCAATCAACCAACAGACGCTCTTCCGGTCTACGAGAAGTCACACCTCAACAGAAGGCGCCTGAGTTGAAAACTCCTATTGATGAACCTACAGATTTAGCCGAGGGGGATAGTCTTTCCTTGGAAGCAAAATTCACTGAAGCTGAACCTCTAGCTAATGTCACTTGGATTGTCAATGGAGAGGTAATTATCTTGCTTTTAATTTTGGTTCCTTTTATTTTGCACAGTAGCTTTAGAACCGCTTGCACGACCAGCCTATGCAGATCAACTGTGTGATTAAATATGCGCATATACATGGTAAAGGTACAAGTTATTTGCTATTAATGATTGTTAGTTATTCGATCTTCCTGTGTAAACTCATTTGATAATATAATAAAAAGTCATTTTGCCATTAAATGCTCAAGTAGCCAAATTCTAAATCAGATTCTTTGTCTAATTACACATAGTATTTATTTATATCAAATGGTAGGCGTTTTGACATTTATCATTAGCCCTTTAGTTGACCTCAGGCTTCACAGAGGGGAAGGAACATCAAAGTAGAACAAAGTCGAGAGGGGGGGGGGAACAGAAGAGTGTTTCAAAGATGTAAAAGGGACAGACACAAAGGTAGAAAAAGGTGAGGTGAGTACTGTGAAATTAGTCGAATATGACACACAGTGGGGTTTTGGTAGTTAGAAGCCAGAAGTCAACAGCCGAATAATAGACTTTTTTCCGTATGAGTATACGTTGCCCAGGGTGCACCACATGGAGGTAAGTCTATCGCGCACCCCAATTACACATAGTATTACCATGGAAATTTGATAGAAAAATACTTATTTTTTTATTTTACGACCTAATGAATAGTGATGCAAGATCATTTTTTCAAAGCAAACAAATTCTCCGCATTATTTTGATGTCAAAACTCTCAAGATTGAAACGTAGTAAGAAAAAATTCGCTTCAAAAATAGCAAATATAACAAAAATGTTAATTAGTTTTCAAATTGAGGAAATTCTAGGCAAAAATCTATATGCTGTTTTCCCTCTACGAACTATTTGGGTAGATTATATTCAAATTTTGATTGGAGTTCGCTTTCAAAGATCCGTTTACCAAATATAGCTCCGCATCAACTTGCGTAGTCTATCTCAGGATGCTCAATTACAAATGACTATGTTCGATTCTTGTTCATAAGCAGCACCCCAGGTTTATGAAAAGTAGACTGATTTCTGTGTCTACGATAGCACGAACTTCTGTTGCCAAATTTTAGATGTTTGTTATTTTTCTTACAGGAGGTGAGTACTGATGGTCACTTTAATATTCGAACTTCGAGCGATGGAACTCGGAGTACCCTTCGAATTGCTGAGCTTACCTTAAACGACTCTGGAAGCTACGAATGCAAGTCGACTAATCCTGCCGGAGTCGCTAAAACAAGAACCAATTTGACAATTCAGCGTAAGTGTCTTACAAAATGAATCGCGGGAAGTACAAAAACTATTTACTTAATAATTTATTCTTGTTATTTTAGCCAAGGCGGAAAATATCAATTCCATTAATTCCATTAATGGGGCTCCCTCAATTGATCCAGTTGAAAACGTAGCATCGATGCAGAATGACCTGGTTGAAAACGACGAGGTTGACCAGATGAATGGGGAAAATCTGAATGCTCAAGACGAATTCAAAATACAAGTTCCTTTTCTAATTAGACAGTTACAAGGCCAAATAGTTGAATTGGGAGTAGATTCAGTGACCTTTAGTTGCGAGTTCAAGAATGCGACTGGAGTTGGGTGGTCTTTCAATGGAAAGGCTCTGGGTCCAGACGAGAAATATGATATCACAATGAATGGCAACGAAGTCGTCCTTACAGTCAAGGATGTTGGATTAGACGATTCGGGTATTTACGTTTGCTACGCTGTCAATACTGATGGACGAGTCACAACTGTCGGATATCTTTCTGTTAGAGGTGAGCAATCGATTGGATTGGTACCTTACAAATTTTTTGACTGCACACCTAATTTCAATACATTTTAGATCCACAAAACCCTCTTCCAGGTCCACAATTCCTCACTTTTCCGAAATCCATCATGACAACAGTCGACAGCCCAATTGATCTCGAATGCTCCTTCACCAGTCCAGTTACAAATCGTATGTTCAACATCTGAAATTCCATTTCCAGCGGAATTAGGTTGTTTTATCATAGTGTTTAAAGCATCGCTACATTAAAAACCGGAGTAATAGTTCCAATTAAAATGAATGAGTTCAATGGTAAAATGGCATGTAAAATTACCAATATGTCATTTAGTAAAGAAAATGACAAAATTAGAAAAATTTGGTATGATTCTTGAATGTCGTTGTCGAATGTCACTAATCACATTAACTTCTTGAAATTCTTTGTTTCAGTTATGTTATGCCAGAACGAATTGGAAATGGAAGAAGCTAAGTCTATTATCTCGGAAGATGGTTTGTCAGCGAAAATCTCCCTCGCAGGAAATGAGCTGATTCCAGCCGACAGTGGAAAATATGCAATTATAGCTCAGGATGCTGAAGGTCAGCACTGTGAATGGTGGATCGATATTCAGATCAAGGCCTCTTCCAAATCAGACTAGGGGTAAGCTGATAGTCTTGCTTGATTTGAGGTAGCATGCAATCGAAATCCAATCAATAATTGTTGAAACGGTCATTCTTGTTTATTCTTTAGGTCCTATGTTATTTTCAGTAAGGTGTTAGATAATGATAGATTTGTGCATGAGTAAGTCTATGATCAATTTGATTGGTCGTCAGAGTGAAAGCTTGCCTCTTACATGTTAGCTAAACTGTTAACATTGTGTCGAAAGTCGCAACACATTTTTGAACTTACCATTATTTATTTTTAACTGACTACTTTGAAATTAGTTGATTCAAGTTTGTAGCGGATTACTGCATTAATAAGCCTTGACTATACTCAGAGATCTTTATAGCAGTTTCGCCTATTTACTGAACTGACTTCCAGAACTAGCTAAGCTAACGCAAAGCTAAAGACAGAAACAGACCTATGACGTGTGCATGTTTACTTGGCATGGTGTGCTGCGTGCTAACGTGATAGCGTGATAGCGTGATATAATCCAGTGACGTGAAATTAACCCTTATATACAACATTCTGGCATGATAACTCCGCAATGACTTTGGTCATTGATTGGTAGGATAACCAAATATTAGATTTGTTTGCTGATTGGTCTAGAGGCCCCTGCATTTGTCATAGTATATTTGTGTTCCTTACAAATTAAAGCCTGCTTTTGTGAAGATTGATTAAAAAATTTTATATTTTTGAAATTCAAATGACTTATGACTGTAAATTTCAATCCACGGGTAACTTTTAATTATAAGCTATTTGTTTTTGTACTGCCTCAAAATTCGCTCTTTTATGTGAAAAGCACTTTAAATCTTTTAATGAAATTGATTTGAGAATTTTAGTAGGTTTGAAGGTATTTTGAAATGGGATTTGATTTAGGTATTAAGAATTATCTTTTGTCTAGATTGAGATAAAAGCATGAACGTTATATCCACTGAAATAATGATATTGAGTTAGTAAAACGCATGCTAAATTGGAACATTAAAAGGAAAATAAATTACCAATCTCACATTTACAGGACCGATTTCTTTCATACATTTTAGACTCACCACCGGAGATGGGGAAATAGCAGTTGAGTTTGTGGAAACTGTAGCTTTGGACCCATCACAACAATCACTTTTCCCCATTTCGCCTTTCGGAGCACTTCGAGCTTTTTCCCCACTTCCTTCCTTGTACTTACCTCTTCTGCTATTCCTATTTCTTCTGTTTTTTGCAGTCACACACACATGGTGGCAGCAAGTCTAGTCGGTCCACTTGCCCCTCCTCCCTTGCTCACTCATATTTATTCTGAATTTCGCCTCCCCCCCCCCCTCTCTATATCATATTATACGCTCTTGAGTTCTCTATTTTCTTTTTACTTGTTTTGCGAAGCAGTGCTTTCCTCTGTCGCACACATGGAAAATCGATCAAATGGCCTTTCGCCTTTTATTCTCCCCTCTTTAACACTAAGAGTATATACATATTATACATACTACGATTCTTAATGCCCGATATTCTCAGTAAGGATTTGAACAAGCTTTCTATTTATCTCTCAAGTATTTTTGGAGAAGCAAACAATATGAATCAATAATGTTATACCTTTTATTGCCGGATGCCTCTCTCTCTCTCTTTTTGTCCCCTTCTAATCTCCTTCTCTTTTCGGGTTCTATGGCTCATACTAATTTTCGCTAACGCGCTGAATACACACTTTTCTTCCTTGAATTTTGCGAAACCCTCTATGTTCCGCTTGTGTCTATTTAATTACCTTTAAAAACTATAGTTTTTGACTTTTAAAAATACTGTCTCGGGGTTTGAATTTACTTGTTTAAAGTAAATAAATATACAAGCGGAATCACGTGTTGCATTCGGGTATTTAGTGAATTATATATGGTACGGACATTTCAATTCACATTGGCTAAATTGAATATCCTATATACAATCGAGAGTAATAATCACCCCTTTCTCGAGAATCGATGAATTTTATTTAATGTGTAAAAGGTGATCTATTTTCATGGAAACAATACTAAAAGTTTTAAGATTTAAAGAATACTTTTTCGTTCCTCATCAACCTAAGATAACTTGCGCGCAGTAAATCTTTCATATGAATCCTTTAAAAAAATTTTATTTTGAGTCTTTTGAAAGTACTGAGTTGATCCAATGTCGCAAAGATAAGAGAGAGTGGAAAGTTTTCATAAAAGTGGTATTAAGTTAATTTAATTGTAAACTTTTGTAATTAATTTTACGTACAACTAAAGTAGCGGAATAATCGACCTTTGCAGATTTTGTTAAAATTCAAGTCAATTTAAGATATTATGCTGATTCGATTGTATTTTCAATTCATTTTCAATCGATTTTTGTTTGTTATGGTAAGAATGAATGACTAAGCATTTTGCAAAACTGCCTTCTGATTAATGCAGCAAACAGTAGTGAAAGTGCTGAAGAAATAAAATGTGAAATGCAAATGATTTTATTTCTTTTTGAACACTAAAACGTATCGCTTCAATTTACGTAATTTATTTGAAGTGAAAACAATTATTTTTCCGCTAGTCCATGTATTTTATATCGGTTTAAAAAAGAGAGAATGTAAAAGCTCAAGTTTAATGAAAATCCGAGCATTTCATTAGTCATATGAATATCTCGTCCTGTTATTGAAAGAATGGTTGGAGTCCCACTATGACAGCATATGATTTAACATGTTTTGTAAAATTTGAATTAGGATTAAAAAAATAAACTAATCTGGAATGGAAATGATTCGACCGCGATAAGATACGTTTTTGTTTCATGAAGTGCAGTACTCATGCTACTGGTTTCGGACTGAAAGAGCTTTTAAATTGTAGATCTTATTCCTCGTAAACTTCCCAGACGGAAAATGAAAACTGCGAAGAAAAACGAAAGAATGGTTTTCTCAAGATCCTCTTTATTTGTGGAAGCAATGCTTTTGTACTATCAACGAGAGCTCTACTTTTCAGGTGCAACAAACACTACAGAATTCCACATTTCAAAAGCTACTTGCTCTGTCATAAAATAGTGCGAGTACGTTAAATGCAGCGTATCAAATTAGTTTACTCAATTTTAACATTAAATTCACAACGACGTTCTTAAAGGGGCTTTTTAAATTTGTATTTTCATTTGAGACAAGTAATAATAAAGTAGAATCATAGAATTCATTGAACGATTCATACCCACTCCTTTTCCAATTTAATTTTTACAGCAATGCATGCATGGTACCTCATATAAATAAGCCGAAAATTTAACCTATATATCGCATTGATTATGTAATACTTCAAAGCTTTTCAATTTAAAGACTTCTAACATTATCCATGCAATTGTTATGAAGTTGGATCTGTGTATTGTATGCTTAATAGTGTCAGCTCCGGCAATCTTCCTACTAATTGTTTCGATAACAATTCCTGATTTTGGTATATTTCAAAATGTCAGATGTCAAAGGGACTGTACGCTTTGACATTTTAGATGAGTATTAAATGCGGATATTTAATATGGTTTCAAAATAGTTGGAATCTAATTATTTTAGAACTTAATGGAACCATTTCTGAGTTAGTTAGCAGTTCATTTTAAGTTTTAGTCTCTTGATGAACAGGCAGAGTTGGGTATAGCTAATTAAAAATTCTGTTCTTCAAATCCCAAAAATACCGACTTGCCTGTGTAAAAGTGTAGAATATGTGAAAATATAGGATTACATTACCTTGTATCACAACACATTCGAAATAAATATATAAACTCACTAATCTGTTAAGATTTCCCTAATTTTCAGCAGTGCTTTCAAAGACGGAATGAGTGGGTTTATTTTGGACGGAAGTGCTATTGAGATAATATAAAAGTAAAACAATCAACCTAAATGGATTAAAAATTCGATTTATCTAGATCCTCAACATCTAATAATAAAATGAATAAATTTAGTGTAAAATGGAATGCTAAATCAATGCGATTTTGGCCAAAGCTGAAGTTAACTCCGGTTGCTCCATCATCTACTGTTCATAGCATAAACACTGATCATTGGTTGCAAATACATTTTCGCCTATCAATTTATTTCTTTAATAATATTGATTATGCAAAGTTTATGCGGCCTAGAATCTGCCAACTTTTATTAATAAAATAGCGAACTAAATACACGCTTTATGTGACTGCGCATTAGCGTGGGGTTTTAAACTTTGCCTCTTGAGTCATAATTCATTTAATTTATTTTAGAAAACCAGAATCATGTAAGACGCAAGGTTGTCGCAAAAGCTCGACATAAAAGGAATTACGTTACCCAATGTTATTAAAGATTTACTTACTTATCCGAACCAACCGTGTTTACATAACTATATATAAATAGATTTGATCATTACATTAAGGGCAGTATTTTAAATTGACTTTCTTACTAAGAAACTGACTCACCCCTGTTATTGCTTTGAAGTGCATAATTTTGACTTTATGCCAAAGACGCTAAGATTTCCAAGATAAAATCAGTATCTTTTTGTTAAGTAATTTAAGTATTTGAAGATATATCAACTGATTATGCATTTTTTCAAGTTCAAATCTAACATCCCTCTACCATTAAAAAGTATATAAAATAAAATATTTACAAAAAGAATTGCTTGATTTTTGTATTATTTTACCTCTATTATTACCTCTATTAACAATTCAAGGCGAATTTTAACGGAAACTTTTAAGTTCCTTAATTTGCTGCATCCTTATTGATGTTTTGCTCATTAACTTTCGAAGTGAAAATTAGGCATAACATTTTACTTAAAGTGACGTTCGTGCATGATTAAATTAGTGAAATTCGTCAACCTGGCTGTATTTATCAACGGTTTAACTATTTTCCTTGGGTATAAGTGAAATAAAATACTCTTTTTCTACTCCTTCTCGAATATTATTTATTTAAGAAAGAGCATAGCTATTTCCTTGAGTTTAACTTCGGTAACGTCAATTGACAGTTGTTAACGTTTTCTCTTGATAAGTGAGAAATTTTGGGACCAATGCCCATAGGTGCGTATTCAATTACTAGGGCTACCAATCATATCAGTTCCTATACTCGTGTACATGCTGGGAACACGTCTCTTAATGTGACCAGAAAGGTTAGAGCCTCCACAAACTTAAATTAATAACAACTTCTTTTTGAGCTGAAACTATTTGACTTTGAGCGATATCGATTGCGCGAATGGAAGGCAATAACTACCCTTAGCCATGAAAACTAAAGTTTCCTAATGTTAAACTAATAGAAACCATTACAATTTAGACTAAATTTTTACCTTGATATTTAATTAATGTAATTAAAACTTACTAACTGTGATTGTCAATCAATACTTTTTATTTAAAAGGATGCATCATTCAAATATTTATAGCAAGAATGAAAGTCTATTTTAAAAATTTGGGGTGTCCTTACTAATAAATACTACTTTCTAATAAGTGAGAATAACAGAGCTTTTATCTTAGAATAATGGATTAAATACCGAAACTAAATTATATCAAACTGTATTCAACGTCCTTATAACGAAATTTACTTAATAAAAGTATTAAATATCAGTAATAAAGAATCCAGGGTTGTGCGATAGACTTGCCTCCACGTGGTGCACCCTGGGCAACGTATACTCATACAGCAAAAAATGTCTATTAATCGACTGTTGACTCCTGACTTCAAACTACCATGACCCGACTCTATGTCATCTTCGACCCCTTCCACAGTACTTCTCATTCATTTTCTCTGCCTTAGTGTCTGCTTGTCTCTTTTAACTCCGTGAATCACTCTTCTGTTCTCCCTAGCAACTTTTTAAGACTTTGTCTGTTCCTCCCCTCTGTGAAGCCCAAAGTCAGATAAAGGGCTAATGATAACTATCAAAACGCCTGCCATTTGAAATAAAGATATAATAAAGAATCAGAAATGTTTTGATATTAATATTGTACAAATAAAACTTTTGATTTAAACATCGAAAAGGTGTAAACCTGTTCCTAAAAAATAATCAAGGCTTAGTACATGTACGTAATCAAATTGTGTGCAACATGCTGAGGATGATCGAGATATCAGTTAATACTCATAAATTTCATTCAATTTACCATTTTTTCCATTGGTTTCATTGATTGCAGTGACATTTTGGCTTCCCCCAAGCATCATAAATCTCTCTAACTCCTTGTTCTCATCCATACTATTCTGGCTATCTGAGGAGCTGGCGTCCTCACTGTTTGACTCTTCTGAGTAGCCATCTCCATCACTCTCATCCGAGTCATAATTGTCATAGTCGTCCCGAGAAACTAACTGATGTGCCGTATACATGTATATTGGTCCTGACTCGTCCTCTACACAGCCAACAAGGG